TTTATTTATTTATTTTTATTCATTATTTTAATTTTATGTGTATGACTGTATTGTCTGCATGTATGTGAGTTCACCCATGTCGTGCAATGCTGCCGAGATCAGAAGAGGGCTTCAGATTCCCCCCTGGAACGAGTTAAGGACCATTCATAGCTGCCATGTGGATGCTAGGAATCAAACCCAGGTCCTCTGCGAGAGCAGTCAGTGCTCTTAACCACGGAGCCATCTCTCCAGCCCCAGTAAAAATAGTCTTAAAAAAAAAAAAAAAGGCCCAAACACAAAAACAAACAAACAAAACTCCAAAGTAACTTACCAGAATGATGCACTGGAGTTCCAGCACATACAACATCATCCACTGTCGTGGGTACCTTGGCCAATGAACTTCACTCCCAGGTGGGTAGTTAACAAAATACCTCCAACAGTAACAATACTCTAAAAAACAGAAACACAGAATTAGCCTGGACTCTCTATGTAGACCAAGCTAACTAACTAACCTCTATTTCCCAGATATCCGCCTGCCTCTGCCTCTACAGCGCTGGGATTAAAGGCGTGCGCCACCATTCCTGACTGTAAATTACTTAAAATGAGCTCCAGTCCGACCCAGGGCTTCATGTATGCCAGGCAAGCACTCTACCAACTGAGTTACTTCCCCAGGCCTGGACTGCAGTTTCTTATCTGAAGGTGCTGATGTCTGTTAAATAAGTTATTTGTCACAGAAGTTGTGAAATGCACCTAGGATTTTAAAACTGTGTTGAATGTATTATGAAATGCTACTTCAGTTGGAAAAATATTTTTAAGCCTAGGTAATTTTGATCTTTGTATTGAGAAATCAGAGCCAGTTTTCAGGTTCCTACATAAAAGGACTCAACATGTGTAATGCTGATGCTAATTGATTGGAACTTGCTTGGAAAGCGTTGCTCATTCATTGGCCTGGAGTACAGTTAGTGATTTAACTTCTTTGTCATGCAGGAGGATCTATAAATTAGATGGAAACTCTAAGTACACATCTGTTTCATGTAATTGTCACAAAATCATGGTGGTAAATCACATTGCTATTTCAATGCTGTTTGTAAATTTTTAAAATTTCATGTTCTTTTTTTTTTTGGCTTTTTGAAACAGGGTCTCCCTGTAGCCTCAGCTGTCCTGGAACTCACTTTGTAGATCAGGCTGGCCTTGAACTCACAGAGATCCATCTGCCTCTGCCTCCCAAGTACTGAGACTACAGGTGTGGTCCACCACACCCAGCTAAAAAAAAAAAAAATTTCATGTTCTTAAGAGGTTTTTTTCTTAATGGTAGTTGGGGTATTAGGTTATCATGACTAAACTATTATTTATCACTGTTATAATATTTATTTTTTTAAGCTCTGTCTCTTATTCATCTATAATAAACCAATTTTATGAAAGGAAAAAAAATGAGGTCCAATTAGCTGGGCGTGGTATCTCTTGCCTATAATCCCAGGTATTCAGGAGGCTGATGCAAGAGGATTGTAAAAAGCTCAGGCCAGCAACTTAAAAACCCTGTCTCAAAATAAAAATAAATGGGGCTGGAGAGATGGTTTAGCAGTTAAGAGCACTGGTTGCCCTTGCAGAGGACCCAGGTTCGATTCCCAGCACCCACATGGTGGCTAAAAACCATCTGTAACTCCAGTTCTAGGGGATGAATGCCCTCTTCTGACCACCACAGGCATTTGCATGACATGGGTACACCTATCTACATGCAGGCAATACACATATACATAAAATAAAAATGATAAAAAATAATTAAATAAATAAAAATGGGTGGAGTATAATTCAGTGACAGAGAGCTTGCCTGGCATATGCTTAGCATGTATAAAGCCTTGGGTTCAATCCCCAGCAACAACAACAAAATATACACTGTATATAAAGGCTGTGGCCTGTTTGCTGCTGGAGATAGGCAACACTCCCTAAAAAAGAATGGTTTGGAGGCTGGCAAGACGGCTCAGTGGTTAAGAACACTGACCATTCTTGCAGAAGACCCTGGTTCAAATCCCAGCACCCACATGGCAGCTAACAACTATCCATAACTCCAGTTCCAGGGGGTCTGACAGCTTCTTTTGTCCTTTGCAGGCATTGCACAACACAGGTGCACTTACCTACATGCCGGCAATACACACATACACATAAAATAAAAAAAATAATAAATAAAATTTTAAAAAAAGAAGAATAAAAGAACAGTTTCTGATGGCTGGGAGGCTGTGGTGGCCAGCACAGAGAAAGCAGTTACTATTGTTCGTTCTTCCCTTGCTGTGAGGGTCAGACTTAACCCTTCCTTTCTCACTTGATTTTTTTTTTTTTTTTGGTTTTTTTGAAACAAGGGCTCCTTGCACCCCCAGCTGTTCTGGAACTCACTATTTAGATCAGGTAGACCAAGCTGGCCTTGAACTCACAGATATCCGCCTGCCTTTGCCTCCCAAGTGCTGGGATTAAAGTTGTGCGCCACCACGCCCGGCTCTCACTTGATTTTTTAATTTATTTTTATTTTATGTGTATGAGTGTTTTGCCTGTGCGTATATAAGTGCACCATGTACATGCAATGCCTGTGGAGGTCAGAGGACGACGTTGAATCCCCTGGAACTGGAGTTATAGACAGTTATGAGTTACCATGTGGGTGCTGGGATTCGAACCCCGGTATTCTGCAAGAGCAGCCAGTGCTCTTAACCACTGAGCCATCTCACCAGTCCCCTTTCTTACTTTAGGTTGATTGTTCCCCTCTGAGATTTCACCCCTGTGGCGTACATTTACCATCCCCACAGTCTCTCATAAATGCTTTGTGGTTGTTACCTGGCTCTGTCATAATCTGGATTGTCACACCACTGCTAATGAGGTCCCTGATTCCTTGCCGGTTTCGCAGATCCGTGTGATGAAAAAGCCGTGCTACATAGATAAACAGAGTCACATTACGGTGTTGGTGCAAAAATTCTATAATAGCCTTGGAGCATTCCCAACAGGGACTCCAAGACAAGAACCAGATGATGGAGCATCTGGCAGATGGAGAATAGTATCTTTCCGAAGTAAATTTCTCTATGAAATTCACTTCGACATGGTTGCTGGTGTTTTTGCCTGTGTGCCGCCATACACTGTGCCTTCCGCCCCAGTTGATCTCATAAAGCAGACAGGTCTCTCTACGAAGATCTCGAGGGTCAAAGAAATCTTGAAAATCCCAGGGTTCAATTCTTCTCCTGAAACATAAAGCACCCCATGTTGTCAAGGAAGACCTCTTTTCCCTCCTTCCTTACTGGCTTTTTTTTTTTTTTTTTTCCAGACCAGGTCTCATGTATCTCAGGCCAGTGGAGAACTCAACAGGAAACTGGGGATGACCTTGAACTTCTTTTTTAATTGGTGTGTGACTGGTGTGTGTGCGTGTGTGTGTGTGTTCATATGTGTGTGCAGGTATGTGTGTGCAGGTATGCTTGCCCATATATGCACATGTAGAGGCAACCTATTTCCTCCTCCCCAGTGCTGGGGTTACAGACCCATGCCACCACAGCTGCCTTTTATGTGGGTGCTAGGGATTTGAACTCAGGTCCTTGCACTTATACAGCAAGAATTGTATTCACTGAGCAATCATCTCAGATGGACCTTGAACTTCTGATCTTCCTGCCTCCACCTCCCCAGGGCTGGGATTACAGGCATGTCAGAACCCAGGTATACTGACTGAGCTGCATCTTCACACTTCTCTCTTTCTCTCTCTCTCTCTCTTTTTTTTTTTTTTTTTTTTTTTTTTTAAAAAAAAAAAAAAAAAAAAAAAAAAAGAGGACTGGCCTCAATCTTACAGAGATCTGCCTGCCTCTGCCTCCTGAGTGCTGAGATTAAAGGCATGCATCACCATTCCTGGCTTACCCTCTCTTCTAAAAGTTTAACTTTGGAGATCCATTAGATGGCTCAACAGGCACTGGCCACCAAACTTAAATACCTGAGTTAGAGCCTCAGGACTCACATAATGGAAAGAAAGAACCAACTCCCACAAGTTGACCCTTGCTATCCACACGTGTGCCTCCCCCAACACACAAATAGAAATGACATCTTCTGTTACAAATGTAATCCTACCTTGTAACCAAAGTTAATCTTACATTTTGGGATTACTTAACACTATCTCAGTTTGTTTACACTATCAACAAGCTTGCTAGGCCTTGGGGTCCTCTTGTAACCTAAATTTCTGTTTTGTTTTGTTTTTTGAGACAGGGTCTCCCTGTAACTCCAGCTGGCCTGCTGCTCACTATGTAGACCAGATTGGCCTTGATCTCACAGAGATCTGCCTGCCTCTGCTTTGTGAGTTCGTGAGTGCTGGGATCAAAGGCCTACACAACCACACCTGGCTCTAAATTTAGAGTTTTAATCCTTCACCCAAAATAATGTGTGTGTGTGTGTGTGTGTGCGTGCGTGCATGCGTGTGTGTGTGTGTGTTGTGAAAATAATGCTGAAAGCTGCAAGTGGGAAGCAATGAATTATCTCACTGATCACATTTGTTTGTGGCCTGGTATGCTATTCTGGGTCATGCAAGGGCAGAAAGGGAAAATCCTTCTCTAGTAAGATAAGGTCTGATTTTCCTTTTCCATTTCATAGTGGACATACAGTTTTAATAAAGAAGGACACCTTTGTTAGGAAGCATAGTTTAGGGAGAAATAGGGAGGAACAAGTTCTCAGAACAGATTGGGTCCCACTCTTAGCTCTAATGGATGCTTTTTGTTCAGGCACAGCTGTAATGTGGTATCCTATGCCCCCTCCCCCACTAAATAATTGTAAATTGTTAAAAAATAATTTTTAAAAACATGTTTATCTAGATCAGGGCATAGTGGTGTCTTTAATCCCAGCACTGGGGGAATCTGAGGTAATGGATCTCTATGAGTTTGACACCAGCCTGGTCTACATAGCAAATTCCAGGCCAGCCAGAGCTATACTGTGAGACCTTGTCTCAAAATCATCATCATCATTATCATCATCATCATCACCATCACCTCCACCACCATCATCGCCACCAACATCGTTATCATCACCATCATCATCATCATCATCACCACCACCACCACCACCATCGTCATTATCACTATCATCATAACCACCATCATCACCACCACCACCACTGTCATCATCATCATCACCACCACCACCACCACCATCATCATCATCATCGTCATCATCTTGCTAACAAGATTCTGTAGTCAAAACTTGAAGTATAATTTAGCCTCAGAATTCTTCCACTTTAGAATTCTGAATGCAGACTCCCCACAAGAAAGAAACTTAATTGCCAGGTATGGTGGCATATGTTAAAAATCTCAGCACTCAGGAAGCTGAGGGAAGTGGATGATGAATTTGAGGATAGCCTAGGTTACATAGCAAGACCTTATTTCAAAAACAAAATGGGGGAGGGGGACAGCACTGGAGAAATGGTTCACTGGTTAAAAGCATTTGGCTGCTGTTCCAAAGGACCTGGGTTTGGTTCCCAGGACTCAGATGACAGCTAACTAGCATTGGTAACTCCATTTCCAGTGGATCCAAAGCCCTCCTTTGGTGTCCAGGGACATTGTATGCACAAGTACCCTTACATGCAAACAAAATACATGTACACATAAAAACAAAATACAAGCCTGGCATGGTGGCGCACGCCTGTAATCCCAGCACTTGGGAGGCAGAGGCAGGCGGATCTCTGTGAGTTCAAGGCCAGCCTGGTCTACATAGTGAGTTCCAGGACAGCTGGGGCTACAGGGAGACCCTGTCTCAAAAAGACCAAAAATCAAAAAACAAACAAACAAAAATACTGGGAGTGGAAAGTGGGTGGGGAGTTATGGAAGGAATTGGAGGGGAGGGAGTGCGGGTGGATTTGATCAAAACACATTATATGCATGTACAAAATTCTTAAACACAATTTTTTTTCTTTCTTTTGAGACCTCTGCAGCCCCAGCTGTCCTGAAACTCACTATGTAGACCAGGCTGGCCTTGAACTCACAGAGATCTGCCTGCCTCTGCCTCCCGAGTGCTGGAACTAAAGGTGTGTGCCACCATGCCCAGCTTAAACAATAATTTTTCAACTGAAGAAAGAAGGATGGGAGGGAGGGAGGAATAAAGGAAGGAAGGGAGGGAGGAAGGGGAAGGGAAGGGAAGGGAGAGGAGAAGGAAATAAAGTAAGAAAGAAAGAAAGAAAGAAAGAAAGAAAGAAAGAAAGAAAGAAAGAAAGAAAGAAAGAAAATTCTCCATATGTTCCACAGATTAGCCCTTCCCTTCCCTTAATATGAGATGACATATTCCTTAACATGATCTCCTTGTTAATAGGGTATATATGTTCTAGGGCAACCTGGACTGTAGAGGGAGACTGTTTAAAAAATAAGAGTTTGCTAGGCATGGCAGTGCATACCTTTTATCCCAGCACTTGGGAGGCAGAGGCAGGCGGATCTCTATGAGTTCAAGACCAGCCTGGTCTACATAGTGAGTTCCAAGTCAGCCCCACTACAGGGAGACCCTGTCTCTCAAAAAGACCAAAAAATTTAAGAAAATAAAATTAAAGAAAATAAAAAAATGTAATCCCAGCACTCGGGAGGCAGAGGCAGGCGGATCTCTGTGAGTTCCAGACATTGCTGGAATCCTTGGTAAATTATGAATCTGGAGTGTGGCTACAATCTAGGTTAAATTACATCAGTGTTAAATTTGCTGATTATTATACTCGTGTGGCGGTTATGTAAGAGGTTGTTGGGAAAATTTCCTTTGAGATAGTGTTGGGTAAAATGTTGTGGGGATTACAGAAGAAAGAAGAGGCCAGCATGGTGGTGTGCCTTTAGTTCCAGTGCTCAGGAGGCAGAGGCAGGTGTGTCTCTGTGAGATGGAGGCCAGCCTGGTCTACACGGTGCATTCCAGGCCAGCTGGGGCTACAGGGAGACCTTGTCTCAGAAGAAGAAGAGGAGGAGGAGGAGGAGGAGGAGGAGCTGAATAGCTTTTTCCTGAAAAGCAGGGCTGAGAGCTGCAGGAATGAGTGTTGTCAACATAGACTATTCACAGTTGGCGGCAGCAGCATCTATAAAGTATTATCTAAAACACAAAAAGTACCTGCATGGAGCTGGATTTGTGAGTAGGTTATGTACTGAAGTGGGGGGTCAGAACTATGTTATTTGTCAGGAAATGAAAAGGGCTCCTGGAAAGTCCCAAGCCTGGGAAAGCGCAAGTGACTATCTTCTCCAAATGCTCAGTTTTAGAAATAGGTTGGGTTTTGTTTGTTTGTTTGTTCTGTGTGTGTGTGTGTGTGTGTGTGTGTGTGTGTGTTGTTTTGTTTTGTTTTGTTTTACATTGTTTTGTTGGTTGTTTTGTCTTTTTGAGACAGGGTCTCACATTATAGCACTGGCTGGCCTGGAACTTGCTATGTAGACCAAGCTGGCCTCTATCTCACAGAGATCCACCTGCCTCTGCCTCCTGAGTGTTGGGATTAAAGGTGTGCACCACTACACCAGGCAGAAAGAGTTTGTTAACAGGTATAGGTAAATGCCATGTAAGGACTCCATTTTTATCAAAATTGCAGTGAGAAGAGCCTAAGTGCGGCTCCCTACTCTAACCTTAATTTTGAAAGCTCTCTAGTTACTATGTTTTCTTATTAGTACTAATAAAATTATTTTAAACTTAGTCCAGACTCAGAAAGGTGTGCCTTTTCCTTGTTCTTCTCTTCTGTTTTTTCCTTCTGGACACTGGCTAAGGCCCAAGCATATGTTCCCTAACACTTCTCTAAATCTCCCCTCCTCAATGCGTGCCTGCTTGTTTGCACAGAGCTGACCTCCAGGCTGGCTTAACTCAATGGCATGGCTTTTTCTCTTTCTCTTCTCTTCCTCCTTTATGCAGGATCCGAGATTTATAGCTTGCCTTCCCTGGAGCTTTTCTTTTAAATTCTAATAAAACTGTGTTTGAACTTTCTTCTGAGTTCACTCTTAAATTCTTTTATTGATGAGACTAAGAAACCACAGGGAACCTGTTTTCTCCAGTAACACATGGTAGCAAATCTGGTGGAAATCCGCCAAATTTCTGGTAACAGTAATTTGTTTAAACGGGAACAAAAAGATGTAGGAGCAAAACCAAATCACAATAAGCATAGAAATTCATCTGAAAAGGAAAAATAAATGAAGAATGGGAACAGAGTAAAAAGAAGAAAGAGACTATTGAAAAGCAAACTGTAGTCCTATCGTTCTTAAATTTCCATTAATTTTTCTTTTAATCAGGTGACATTATGCTAGCATCAGCCTTACCTCAGAGTGGCATCACCAGCTGCAGGACCTGTTGACCAAGAGATGACTTTGTCAAATGACACCCAGATACAAACTGAGCTGCTAAGAAAAAGTGCTCTATTCCTCTACACCTGCAGATCATATTAGAAAATGAACACAGAAGCCAGGAATCATGGTGCACACCTCATCCCAGCACTCAGGAAGATTTCAAGTTCAAGGTACCCCTAGGCTACATTTTGAGACCCTGTCTCAAAAATAAAAATCAGTTTAATGAGAAAGTCACTTCTCCAAGCATCCACAGTGTAACTTCTATCTGACGTAGAGTATGCCTATCTTACTCCAGACTCTGCAACCATGAACTTGTTAGCCACAGAAATGACTGAATCAATGAATGATTGAATGGACTTTCCTATGATCCCCTACAAGCCTGCTCTATTTTCTCTGTTTTCATACTTTATTGGACTTTTCCCTTTATTGATGTTTGTCTTAGACATAGTGGCAGACCCAGAGCAATGGGTTCTTTATTTTGTTTATGACCCATTTAACCTTTGAGCATTTTCATCCTCTAATTCAGAAATAACAAGACTAAGGGGGGACAAACCCAGGCCAGGTGGTCTACAGACCTGTGACATCAAGTGTGTTGGTACACAACTGTATTCCCAACATTTCTTACTGCTTCTCTCTTTCAAACCTGAAATAATCTTTACTATTTCAAAGTACCAAGATACTTCAATTGAGCAGTATGCTTGGTCTCTCTCTACACAAGCTGTTGTTCTAAAACGATGGATACATTTGTTTTCTCCCCCTATCAAGAACCCTTTGAGAGGGAATTGACACTGATTCTAACCACTCTAACAGCTATCAAAATACCTGAAAGCAAATCCTGAATCCATCACTCCCAAGTCCAGCCTTGGAAGACAAAAGAAAAATGAGGAGGAACCCAATAGAGGGATGCTTTTGGAAGCCCTTGTCAAGAAATTCCAATGGACTCTCACATGAACATTTGAAAATTGCCCTGTTCTGACTTTTGTCTAGTTCCCTGTCTAGAACTTGTACTGCTAACCACACTTGCCTTTACTTCTCCTTCACATTTCCCATTCACCACCAAGGACTTTCTTTTCCCACTACAGATAACAGTTATGGAATTTGGGAGTCCTTTAGATAGACCTAATGAAGGGGCACCCAATTGCCTCACCCTGTGCCTCTGTTCAGCATGGAAGAAGCCAGAGCAGCCTATATCCCAATTCCCTATCCACAAGCTGAGTAACCTCTATAGAGGATGGTGTGATTAGAATAGGAGGTAGGAATTTGCTAGGTGGTTAGTGTAAAAAGACCCCAAAGAAATGTAGCCAGCTTCTTGGCTAAAAGTCAAAATATTCTTGGGCCTCCTTAGCAACATATTCTGTTCCAAAGGCCAAAAACGTCAAAAGTATTTGGGAGTTTGTGTCTAATCCTTAAAAGATTTTAGGGTTATCTCTTCAGAGGGGGGGATGCTAGAGTAGCCAAAAGCCCCATAAAAATAAATAAATAAATAAAAGAGAAAAAAAGATTTTTAGAGGCTGGAGAGATGGCTCAGCAGTTAAAAACACTGGCTGTTCTTGCAGAAGACCTGGGCTCGAATCCTAGCACCCACATAGCAACTAACAACTGTCCTTAATTCCACTTCCAGGGGATCTGACAGCCTCTTCTGTCTTCCATGGGCATTGCATGACATGGGTGCACTTAACTACATGCAAGCAATACATGCATACACATAAAATAAAAATAATAAAATATTTTTTAAAAAAAGATTTTTAGCTGGGCACGGTGATATATGCCTTCAATCCCAGCACTGGGAGGCAGAGGCAGGCAGATCTCTATGAGTTCGAGGCCAGTCTGGTCTACAAAGCAAGTTCCAGGCTAGCTGGAGCTACAGGGAAACCCTGTCTCAAACACACACACACACACACACACACACACACACACACACAGAGAGATTATTTTAATAGGAAGAACATTATAGAGTAAACTATATTGTAAAGTCTTGAATGGTGATCCCAGCACTTGGAAGCCTGAGGCAGGAAAATCATCAGTAGTCCAAGACTAGCCTGGGCTAAAGTAACATCTTATCTTTTAATTTTTATTTTTATTTTATGTGTATGAGTGTTTTGCCTTCATGTAAGTGCACCTGTGCATGCAATGCCCATGGAGGCCAAAAGAGGATGTCAGATTCCCTGAAGCTGGAGTTAGAGACAGTTCTTAGCTACCACTTGCCTGCTGGGAACTGAATCCAGGTTCTCTGGAAGAGCAGCTCTTAACTGCTGAGCCATCTCTCCAGCTCCTAAGATCCTGTCTTAAAACACACCAAAATATGCTGGGCGTGGTGGCACACGCCTCTAGTCCCAGCACTTGGGAGGCAGAGGCAGGCAGATCTCTGTGAGTTCAAGACTTGCCTGGTCTACACAGTGAGTTCCAGGCCAGCTGGGGCTACAGGGAGACCCTATCTCAAAAAGACCAAAAAAAAAAAAAAAAAAAAAAAAAAAACCCACAAAAAAACACACCAAAATAATGTTGGATGTGGCAGCAGGTGCGTTTAGTCCCAGTACTCAGGAGGCAAAGGCAGGTGGAGTTCTGTGAGTTGGAGGCCAGTCTGGTCTATATATCAAGTTCTAGGCCAGCCAGGGCTGCATAGTTAGAGCTTGTCTCAAAACAAAACAACTCACCAAAATAAATATGTATTCATATATGTGTGTATATATATATATATATATTTAACCTCAACATTTATATGACCTGTTTACCATGCCTACACTATTGTAATAAGTCTTCCTTATTCCTTGCTTCCCCAAACCAATCAAATGGTAGGTAAATATGTCCGAAGTACTATTTTAGTCATATCCCTGTGCTTCAGAAATTCTCGAGGTCACTTTCCACTACATAATGAGTTCGGGGTCAGCCTGGGCTACATGAGATCCTGTCTTAAAAACAAATAATAAATAAATGCAACAAAAATAAATTCTCCAGGGTTGGGGAAATTACTCAGTAATTAAGAGCACTGGCTGCTCTTGCAGAAGACCTGGGTTTGATTCCCAGCACCCACATGGTGGCTAACAACCACCCATAACTCCAGCTCCAGGGGATCTGACACCCTCTTCTGGCCTTCCTTGGGCTTTGCACAACATGGGTGCACTTATACACATACAGGCAAAACATTCATATACATAAAATAAAAATAAATATTTAGGGGCCGGAGAGATGGCTCAGCAGTTAAGAGTACTGATTGCTCTTGCAGAGGACCCGGGTTTGATTCCCAGCACCCACATGGTGGCTATGAACCGTCCTTAATGCCAATTCTAGGGGAATCTGAAGCCCTCTTCTGACCTCCGTGGCATTGCACGACAC